TGCGGGGTAACCCACGTGCGAACTAGGACAAGGCAAGCGGCAGCAGCACAGCGTGGCAGTGGCGTTAATAGCGGCAACGTCGTGACGCGAGGCAGGTGGCAGTGCGAACGCGGCGGCGAGTTGATGGCGCTGGCAGCGGCTCCGTCGCGACGCATGCGGGGCAGTGGACAACAGTAGCAGTGGCTCCGCACGGCGGGTGTGGGGCAGTCGACAATAGTAGCAGTGGCTCCGCGCGGCGGGGCTAGTGGCAGCCGAGACCTGGCCAGGCCAGAGGCGACCATGGCCGGCCACATGCGGCAGCGCACGCACGCACACGCGCGATCAACGCGGCGACGCCGAACGGCCGAGCGCGGCGATCACGGCCACACGATCAACCAGCCCGAAACCGTGACACGCACGAATTTTAAAGCGTTCAACACGACCAAATGATTGCGCCTAAACCTAAACCGTCTTCACCATGCACAAGAGGGCACATAAGACTACTAAAACGAGCTATAACACTACACCACTCCTTAACCCAATCTCTCACAATAAATTGCCAAACATAGCAGTGTCTAACAGTCGGCAGACTTGAAATTTCTAAGCTTTTGAGCTGAATTTGGTTTCCATTTGCGATTTCTAAGCTAGTGGAAATATTAGCTAGTAATATCATTTTTTGACCCCAAGTATTTCATTGTCATCTACAAAGTTTGTACTTCAAACTTTATTTAAGTAACACATATATGTTCTATAGCATTTTTGCTTAATAAAAATTGGTTTTAAACCCTAAGTGATATAACATGACTATCGAATCAACTTTCGTTTCGCATTTTAGTTGATCGTTTCGAGTTACAGAAATTGATCTACACACTTTATTACATGCATTAACACATAAACATGATGCTCATGACATGTTTTAGTAAATGATTTACAGTGTAACACCGAGGGTGTTACATGCACTCCCGTGGCCCTTCCCCATGCCCTACCCTGACGGCTCCACCTGCAACCTGCGGTCTAAATGACTGCCGCGTCTAGATCATCACAGATACACACCACCTGGCTTAGAACAACAGGATCGAGAAACCAGGGGAGCAACGCCTCATCGCAGCATCTTGGCCAAGATCCTACAATCTACAGACATGTGGGGCATACCTGGTGGCTCCCCTGTTAACGGAGCTCCTCTTGCCAGCTAACGCAGCGGCGGCGGCGGGAGGAGGATTGGCCAAGGCCTCCTTGCTGCTGCCTCAGCTCGTCTCCTTACGGATATCAGTCCAGGCCTCTTGGGCTTGTTACCCTCTTGGAGCATAGAGACGAGGGGCGGCGGCATGGAGGAGAGGGGCGGCCGTATGTCCCGTTGGGGGGTTAGGGTTGAGCAGATGGGGAGAGCGAGAGTGTAGGTGGAGGGGACGAGGCAGATTTTTTTTGAAGGAGCCCGACATGGCGTGGCTGTGATTTTTGGAGGACCATGTCACGTAGATTTTCAATTGACTGAGCGCTCCAGCATTTTGGGACCGGTTTGCCTGGTTTGACTGAAAATTTTGATGATGGATGAAGGGAGCAGGCACACATTTGTGAAGAATGAAGATTATAGAATGCGCACACTAGGAAGAAAATGACAAAAAGATGAGAAGGAAACGTGAAATTTTGATCTAATTTTATTTTTTATAAGATAAATTTCATATTTATTCACTAAACTTATTTTTTTTCTAAATTTCTAACTAATAAAATTTCACTATAGAGTTTAATTTTTATGAATCGATGGCCAATGGCAGATTTAGGTCCTATTTGGATGAACTAAGATTATAACTAGCTAAAATATCTAATTATGATCTTAACAATTATAGGGTGGATTTTTATAGTCGAATGCCTAGGTTATTGAATCCTAATTATGATAATCCCATAAATAATCTAGATTACAATGGGCCTGTTCGCTTAGAGGAATTCTGGAGGAATTTGGATGGTTTGGAGGAATGCTGGAGGAATTTGTGAGAGAAGAACATTGTTCCGGATGAAAAAAGAAGCGGATCAAGCCGGATTTAAGGGCACGCGAACAAGGCCAATAATTCATACTGTGATCCCTCTTGTTTAGGGCCTTGATGAGACTGTAGATTGGTTTGCAGGTTTTAGTGAAGATGACAATGTTGTAGATTAGGTTAGGGTTCGTGTAGAGCCGATGATAAACCATCTTGTGGTACCGTGAAGCTGGTGTTTGATTGAGTTAGGTTTAGGGAACCAACGTGACAAGGCAAATAAAGTTCAAGAGAGCACATTGTAGGACCCTAAGAAGCTTTAGTCAGTAGTCATCTATCTTTGTATCGTAGTCAATTGATTAAGCTTGCCGCCAAACATTTACACGTCAAATTTATACATAATCTTTGTTGTTGTGTAGGATTTTGACTATTTTTTAGTATGAATTACTGTTTGTTGAAATTAGTTCACTTGAACTACATGTGAAAATGATCTTTATTTAGAAAAAAAATACTTACAAGTAAATTCACATACATTTGGTTTTCATTTCAAAGTCATGTTTATAGTCAACTATCTTCTCTCTAGCAAGAATAAAGATGTCGAGTAGTAAACTTGATCTTTTTAACATGAAAACTTATAATAACCTTTTTTTTTAGAATTACATCGTACAATGTAGATGCTCACAGTACACGCATACTCATCCATATGAACACTTGTTAAAGTGAACTAAACATGTTTAAGCGTTACACATGTCTGAGTGTCGCATATGCTAATCATATCATTTATTACGTCCATTCTAAATTATAAGATATTTTAGCTTTTGTATATACATTGCTTTTACTATGTATCTAGACATAGTGTATATTTAAACGCATAGCAAAAACTGTGTATCTAGAAAAGCCAAAACAAAAGAAAGTATTCTTTGGAATACTCCACCTGCTCAAGTCTAGAGTAGTAATCCGTTCCTTGTGGGTTCATCGCTGTTTTATTGAATGCTTTAGTAGTTTGTGGGTTCATCTAAATGCTTCACTAATCTGTAACGTATACGTGGTGTCCAAGTTATAGGTTACCTTTGTTTGCCTCGTACTCCATGGGTTTATAGGGGTAGGCGGTAGGTGGTGAGAGTTATAAAAATTTAGTGCTTGTTGAGAAAGATAAGTAACTTTAGTGCTTTAGGAAAAAAATACACCTTTTTAAAAAAGGATAACTAGTTGGAAAATGATAAGTAACTTTAGAGTAATTCGAAAAGGATCAATGGTATGTTTGTTCATGGTAGAATTATTTAGATATGTTTTGTAAAACACAACTTCTTTTAAAAAATAGCTTTTTTATGCATAGGTAAATTATTTAGGGCCTGTTGTCCCAAAAAAATTTATTTAGGACATGTTTGGAATCACTCAAAATCAAATTCTAGATAAAAATAATTGAGAATCACAATCACACTACTCAATGGTCCTAAAAGTCTATTTTAAGCTGTCACATGTTAAGTTAAATTTTTTAAGGGACCAAAAATGGAAAAAAAGACTAGAAGAAAAAACTTTCTAGTCAAAATATTTTTCATTTGAATCCATTTAGAGTCTCAAATTATCATTACAGTATCTAAAGAAATTAATGCTAAAGAAGAATATCATATCATCTATTCAAATAGCTAGACGTTCATTTTTTTCGGGGATTTCAATTCTTTTTTACCGCCGATTTTTTTCTCCTCCGCCGCGTCGAAACTTGCTTTCAAGTTCACGCGCGCTCGCCACACCCAAATCCCGCAACTCTAAGAATGAATAAAAAATATAAAAATAAAAAACCCCGCGCATCCCTTATCCTTCCTCCCCCAAATCCCCCGACACTTCTCCACGTACAACCAGAACCAGCTCGCGCCGTCGCGGGTTCCTCGCGGGCGGATGTCGCCGTTCTCCTGCTGTCGACGGCCACCGGCGTCCTCCTCGCCACCACAACCTCCTCCTACATCCAAGCCGCTGCCTGCCTCCCCACATCAGGACACCTTCCCGGCCGCCCGGAGCTCCAGGCCATAGGAGCCGCACGGCCGCCTCCACTTAGCGGGCCTTCTCCGGCGGTCGCCGGCAGCTCCAGGCCACATGAATCCAATGACGGACGTCTCCCCCATCGCCTCTACACCATCACGGGACGAGGACGGACGACACTGAAGAGCTTTCGGCGCCTCCTCCATCGAGCTTGACCCCGAGCCCCTTCTGCTGGATCCATCATTCTGGAGAGGACGATATTACAGTCCATTCAACTTCAATCACAACCTTTGAAGACATTTGCTGGATCTGAAAGGTAGTAGGATTACTTTCTTTGTTTCTTTCATACAGAACATTGTTTGATTTCACTATCCAGTAGTCAAAAAAATATTAAGCGCTGATGTTTTAATTTATATCTGATTCATGTATCTTAATGTAGAATATACATTTTGCTAGCAGCTATAGTGTGTGTAGATATGTAACGAGCCATGAATGGTTCAAATAAAAAACACAGTTAGAAATTATCCAGTATCCACTGATTACTTTGTAATTTACAGCAGAGAAACATCCATTTTTTCACTATTAACTAGGGATGTTTTATGTATTGAGAGGAAACCACATTGATGTGATTTCTTACAATTACTTAAATCAGAGAACATAACGCACAACAAATTTGTTTTTTTTCTTATAGCTGCCTTATATGGTACAGGTTGACCATCACAACTTACTGCACATTATTTGTTTGATACGGGTTCAAATATTGCTTAGGTGCTTGGGTTTGTGTTGTAGTCAACCAGAAGATTAACCATTCATTGTTTTACACATAACGAGGTGGCATGAACTGGCTTTCTGATTAAAGGTTGTGATTGACATCAGTTGAGATTTGTTAATTTGGTATATGCAAATGTCTTGCAGAGATTACTGCCTCATACCAAATAAATGTTCAGTTTTTTCAGATAGTTGGAGTTAACATCTTGGAAGGCCTTCCATGCACATTTGAGGTTGTCAAGTATGTGAGATTTCTGATTCTTCACTTTGTGATGTACCTTAGTTCTTGGTTTTGTGCTGTGCTAGATGGATTATGGGGAGAAAGCAAACAACGACCAGCAGGTAAGGGCGCCGTGGATTTGCTTCTACTGCTTGACCTTAACCATCCAAGCTCATGGTTTCTTCTATGCATCTACAGAGGAAGGGCAGGGTTCGAGAAGAATCTGATCCTTTGTATGAACCTGAAGATGCTGTACTTGATGGGGTATTTGCAATCAATTTTCTTAGGATTCATAAATAATAGGCATACAAACTAACTATAGTTTCTAGCATTGGGACTGTCCTTAGAAACTAACTAGTTACTTACCCTGCTCCTAAGTTGTGATTCTGCATCTCCATTTCCTGAAAAGGCCATATTCTTCTTTTATTTTATTCATTGTCCTTGTGGAGTTCTTCAAGTTAATATCTGCTGCCTTAGCCTAGCATATTCCTGCTTGTAGTGCTGCAAGTTTGCGAAAGTTCATTTAATAATATTTCTATTGCTGCTGATTTCATTTAGTAATATTTCTTCCTCAGCATAGTTGTACTGAGCTATGACTATGGGCAGATTGAGATGATTGTACCCTTTGAAAGCAAAAGGCATATGCTGGGGTAAAGACAATCATGCTGCTGGCTGTAACTTTTTTTTTTGGCTGCAATCTGTCCATAAAGTCATCTTGTCAAATATGCATGGAGTACTATCTCCAAGTCATTTTGGAGGTATAACTCTGTCACTAGGCAATGGTTTCCTTGATACTCAGTCCATGGGATGGGTGTGCAGTGCAACACAGAAGGCAGAAATGACTTTTCTGTAAACTAGTGATACTCTGGAAAACATGGCACCCATTTATTGGGTTCATTTTCTGAGAAATATGCTTTCTTACTGTTCTGCTTGCTTGTTCAATTTGTATAGGTGAATGTTGCTGAGTGTACTTTGAGTATGCAACTGATATATATTTTTAAACAAAAGGGCATCAAAGAAACAATCTTTTAGAATTTTTTTTGTATCAGCTATTTGAAATGGATATGTTACTCACCTATGCTCTAATACAATAAGACTAATTTGGATATTTTTTCTTGTATTATGCAGAACACGCAGAGGAACATTTTGGTAACGAACACCATCAGGAATACTGCAGGAACAAGAGGCCCAAAGAGAATCTCCATGCCACCTGTTGGCCAAGACTGGTTTTGGTGAGCCTGTGAAGCAAGCGGTTGTAAGTACATGTCTAGGTTTTGTTTTTTTGCTATGGTTGATAAGCATTATCAAAATTAAATGGACTGTTCTAGACTTGAAGCTATTTTGTTGTTTCATTTCTTGTTCTAGGCTCAGTAATTTGTTTGTACAAGATCCAAAATTTTCTAGATGAAACAGAAGTTGTGGAATTTGATGGACCAAACAGTAAACGATATTGTCAATAAGATATCTTTTGTAGGTGGCTGGAATTAATCCTGTGAAACAGTAAACGATATTGTCAAATTTACAATATGCTGCTGCCATATGTTATGCTTTTCTAGGCCTTGTTTAGATTGCCTCAAAATTCCAAGTTTTTTCACTCTCTCCATCACATCAATTTTTGGACGCATGCATGGAGCATTAAATGTAGATAAAAAAAATAACTAATTACACAGTTTGGTTGTAAATCACGAGACGAATCTTTTGAGGCTAGTTAGTCCATGATCGGACAAAGTTTGTCAAATAAAAACGAAACGTGCTACAGTGTACAGATTGCAAAAATTTGCAATCTAAACAAGGCCCTAATAAGTCAGCCATGGCTTGAAATTTTTGAACATTTGCATATATACTAATGCAAACTATTTTTCTTACAATGTTAGGCTCAAATGGACGCCGCCATGGCTCAGCCTACACCAGAAGGGGAACAACCAGTGACTCCTGCTGAAGCTGTTGCTCATGTTTTGCCATCAAGTAAATTTCTTCGAAATGTTGGCCTTGAGCCAGCAGCCCCAAAGAGAAGCCCTACTGCTGCTGCACGTGTACAGGAGTTGGAGGTTGAAGTTGTGGCAGAGAAGCTAGGTGCTGCGGCACTTAGAGATCAACTTCATGGCCAGTAGGATGAGTTGGAAGTGTTGAAGAAGGTCGGTTGGGGAATCAGAGGAAGCAAGGGAGAAGCAGGCATATGAGATTGAAAATTTGAAGAAGCAAGCAGAGAAAACCAATGCTCTTCTTCGTTGGTTCACCTTGAACAAGGACCAAGTCACTCCTTACCTTTTCCTCAACATGGTTGGGATATGTGGCTGTTTATTTTGGTACTTAGCCTGAACTTGGATATGTGGTAATAGTTTGGATGTAGCTATTTATTTTGGTAATGACTTGGATATGTGGCTGTATATTTTGCTACTTGGTTGGACCTGGTAATGACTTGGGCATGTGGTCAGGTTCATGTATTTTAGGTGAATTTTGACATGTCATAAATATTTGGATATGTAATTATGTGTTGGTAGTTATTTTTTATGAACTAATGATAGTTTGTGGATATGTCCGGAACCACGATATATATAAGTACGTATGACCTGGTAGTTGGTATGAACTAATGTAATTTTTTTTATTATGTTTGCCCCTAAAAATTTGACTAAATACATGCTAGTATACTTAAGCAGGCAATTATTAGGCTAAAAAGGATACCCCAGTATGCTAATAACATAAATTAAATTATGATTGCATAAGTCTGTAGCATGGGAGACTACGTGTCCATGAGATTGTTGGGCAAGATAATCAGGGTGCAAGCATTCTCAATGTAGACCGCAAATATCAATTGACTGGATTAGGAAAAAATGCAAATCTTAGTAGCCAGATTGTTGAAGACTATAGATATACTGATATACTGGCACACGATCTGCATGTATACGGTGACCACGGTCACCACGATCTGAAGGTCCCGGCGCCCTGCGTGGTCAGCCGTTCCTTCATTCTGTAAACTCGTATATGAGCCGCACCAGTCAATGAATCATTCTTGTTGGCTCCTACTCTTGTTCTCTACATGGTATCAGCAGTCTAGGTCCTTCTCCTTCCCCCAACCATCGCCGCCATGGATCTCAACCCCCTGTTCGAGGGTGATGTTGAGGATGACGTCTCCTCCTCTTCCTCTGTTGATGGCGGCACCTCCTTCACCGAAGACGTCGTTCTTCCCCCACCCCCTTCCGCCATCATTCAATCATCAATATCCGCCACCACGCCCCAAATCGAACTTGATATCCAAGAGTCCAACTACGCCCGAATGGCGGTGCTTCTTCGACGCCGTCGCCGGCAAATTTGGCCTTACCTCCCACCTCACCGTCGCCCCTACATCTGCTAATCGCCGTGATGCCCATTGGGTCATGATTGATCAGTGTATCCTCGGCTGGCTCTATAATTCAATCTCCAAAGACGCCCGCGCTTATTGTGCACCAGCGCCGGCATATATGCCATCTGGCGCGCGATCGGCGAAAGCAGTTCGCGACAACGAGCTCCATCGCGCCGCGTGTACCTCGAGGCGGAGTTCCGATCCTTGTCCAGGCGACATGGATATCGCCACCTACACCGGCAAACTCAAGCGCCTCGGCCGGCGCTTTTGCGCGACGTCGGTCAGCCCGTTCGTGAAACCTCTCGGTACTCAATATGCTTCGTGGCCTCTCCTCCAAATATCGCCATGTCTTTGCCGGCGATAACCTCCGTGCGACCTCACACACCTTCCTTTCCAGCGCTCATATCTCCTGCTTTGGAGGAAAAGTACGACGCCGAACATGCCAAGACCCGACGCGCAACATGCCCTCCTGACATCCAGCGGCTCCGGATCGGGCGGATCCGGCGGCGGCGGCGGCCATGGCACCGCTCCTCGTCCACCAGCACCAGACGCGGGCGACGGCGGGTCCGGCAATTCCGAATCCAACTCCGGTTCGTTGACCGCTCCCAACGGCTCCGGCGCACCGCCACGCAACGACAACAATCGTGGCGGCAAGAAGCTTGGCCGTGGTCGTGGCGGGAACAACTTCACGGCGGACCCGTCCTCCGGCTGGCGATCGGGGTGAACCCGTGGACCGGTATGGTACAGGCATGGCAAATGCCGTTCCGTCCCCGGCCTCCGACGTTTCGGTCCTCGGCCCGGCATCCAGCCAATCAGCGTGCCATTGGCTGCTCCACCGCCGGCTCCAGTCATCACATCGGCGCCCGCGTCCGGCTCTACACCACACGACGTATGGAACCACCAGCCATGCTCTCGGCCTGGTGAACTCGCGCTTCAGCAGACCCAGAGCGGAGTGGTACTTCGACACGGAGCCTCGTCTCACATGTCTTCCAAAGACCGGTAATCTCTCCTCCATTACACCGGCCTATTCCCTATACCCATCATCGCCGGCAGCGGTGCATCACTCCCGGTCACTCAGCGTAGCCGTGCCCACATCTCCACCGCAACCTCTCCACTATGTTTCTATCAAGTTTGATCCCCTTGGTTTCTCTGTTAAGGATCTCCTCACGCTGGGCGGAGATTCTCCGATGTAACAAAGATTTGCGAGCTTTACCCCTTGATGCCGGCTCAACCTCAAGCTCTTGTGACCATTTGCACCCACCATGGATCTGTGGCACCGGCGCTTAGGTCATCCCGGGCGTCAGAAGCTTCCACAAGACATTGGCAGGTCTTGATCTTGATTCAGCAAGTCCCAACATACCACTTGTGAAGCATGTCACTAGGAAAGCATGTCCCGCTGCCATTTTCCAATTCAATTCAGTTTCTTATGTTCCTTTCCAAATAATACATGCTGATGTATGGACATCTCCATTGTCAAGTTTTTACGGATTCAAATACTATTTGGTTTTAATCGATGATTATTCCCACTATGTGTGGACTTTTCCATTGCGCATGCGAAATCTGAGGTTTACTCTGCATTGTTGCCTTCCACGCATATGTGCTTTTCGATTTCAGATGCCACTCGCTCGCCCTCCAAACCCGACAATGGCCGTGAATTCGATAACTTGGCCATGCACACCCATCTTGCGCCCACGGCACCATGTTTCGCCTCTCTTGTCCGTACACCTCTTCGCAAAACGGAAAGGAAAGCAGATCATTGAACCATCAACGATCGCGTCCGCAGATCTTCTTATTCATCTTGGCATGCCCGGAACCTCTTGGGTGGAAGCTCTACACACCGCCACTCATCTTATTAATCGCAGAGCCATGTCGGTCCGGTGCTTCAATCACACCTCATCCAGCGTTTGCTCGACGCTTCGAACCAGATTTCAGTCATCTTCGAGTATTTGGCTGCCTGTGCTATCCTAATCAAACAGCCACTACATCTCACAAGCTCAGCCCCGTTCTACCCCCGTGCTCTTCTCGGGTACCCAACCGATCATCGAGGTTACCGCTGCCTCGATCTCCATAGCCGCGGGTCATCACCTCCAGACATGTTGTATTCAACGAAGTTGTCTTTCCATTTCTCTCTCGACGAGTTTCGAGCAAAAGCGGCACCAGCCGAGACCGCCTCAGATGCGGACTTCGACTCCTTGCCTGTTTTCATTCAAGCAACTCCTGCCTCCACATCCGCAGACCACGCACTCGGCGATTAGCACCGTGCATCCTTCCCCACCACCCGCATCCAGTTCGCATGCAGCTGCTCCATCACAGCGCCGCCCGCTCTCCCCTGCCCCACCTAGCGCCGAAATCGGATCGGACCACCGCCACCGCTCCATCCTCCTCGCCAACTCCACCGCCCCACATACCCAAGCACCCATTGACGGGCGGGGCCATCACATGGTTACTCGATCCCAGTCGGCACATTCAAACCCAATCCTCGCTATGCTATGAACCTCACGGCTCCCACGCCTTGGCGCTCCATCATCGATCCCCAAGTCGGTTCGTGGCGCTCTGAAAGACCGAATCGGCATTCACCATGGCGGCCGAGTTTGAGGCTCTTCGAAAAACCGGACTTGGCGTCGGTCGATCGACCCCGGCGCACACATCGTGGATCGGCAAATGGGTCTTTCGGCATAAACTCAACCCGCCGCCGCATTCTTGGCGCTATAAGGCCCGGTGGGTGGTCCGTGGCTTCACCCGGTAGCTGGCGTTGACTTCGGCGAGACCTTCACTCTCGTCGTCAAGCCGGCGACAATTCGACAACTGATGCTCGCCATCGCGGCCTCCGAGAGAACCGCCAACGACGCAACTCGGCGTGTCCAATGCCTTCCTCCACGGCCATCTGAAGGAGCAGGTGTTTTGTCAGCAGCCGACGGGATTTGTCGATCCTGACCGGCCCGATGCAGTTTGTCTCTTGGACAGGTCTCTCTACGGCCTTCGTCAAGCACCCCGAGCCTGGTTTGAGCGGTTCGCCGCATTCATCCGGACTCTCGGCTTCACTGCGACTTCGCCGACTCGTCATTTTATTCACGGCTAGCTGGCGCGGCCACGACCTCGTCTACCTCCTCCTGTACGTCGACGACATCGTCATCACCGGTTCCTCTGCGGCCCTCATCCAGAACATCGTCAACAAGCTGCGCGCCGAGTTTGCCGTCAAGGACATGGGCGATCTGCGCTTCTTCCTCGGCATCGACGTACGACGGTCCAAGGAAGGATTCTGTCTCTCTCAAGCACCCTACGCCAACGACGTTCTGGAGCGCGCTGGCATGGCTTCCTGCAAGGCAGCGGCCACACCCATCGACGCCAAGGGCAAACTCGATGCCACTGGCCCTGCTGTTGCTGACGCCACAAGCTATCGCCAACTCACCGGGGCCATGCAATACTTGACCGTGACGTGTCCGGATATTGCCTTCGCCGTTCAACAGGTATGCTTGCACATGCATGATCCACACGAGCCACACCTTGCGCTTCTCAAGCGCATTCTCCGCTACGTCCGCGGCACGACGTCGCACGGGCTGCTCCTGCGCGTCTCCACCGACTTCAACATTACCACCTACTCCGACGCGGACTGGGCGGGCTGTCCCGCGACATGGCGTTCAACTTCAGGCTTCTGTGTGTTTCTCGGGGACGCGCTCGTCTCCTGGTCCTCGAAGAGGGCCACGGTGTCCCGTTCAAGCGCTGAGGCGGAATACCGTGCCCTCGCGAACGCCGCCGCTGAATGCATTTGGC